CGCACTGTCTGGCCCTCCTCTGACCGGCAACGTCGTTCTCTGTCTGTGTATCTGTAAGGTGCTCCTACGGGTAAAGACCTGATGTCTGCACCACGAAAGCCACCCAGTTTGGTCTTTCTTGAAGGTCTGTGCAAAACTGGGGAATGGGCGTAGGCACTGCAGTCGCCTGGGGTAACCCTGGTGTACCCCTCACGGCTGCTGCTGGCTTGCACAGCTGCTTCTATCTTTGACAAAAGATAGAAGGCTGCAGTTCTGCTGGTTACTTTTTCGTTCTTCTGTAATCAGTGAAATGTTATATTCAGTGAGTTATAAAGTGCTACTCCGAAACTCTGTTGTGTAAGACTACAGAAGGAGTTAGGACAGCTGCAACTTCTCTGCATCGTTAAACCTTTCTGGATGACAGATCCTCTGTCTCTTAAGCAGCTCTCTTTTAGCTGATTTGTACCAAAAGATCTCTTGTCTCTTTGATTTGTAGTCATCTCACACTTCATGAACAAGAGAGAAAATGAAAAAAAAAAAAGGGTTTGTTTTCCCCTTCAATACTTCTTTCCATGGTTTGCCAGGGGAATTAAAGCAATGTCTTCTCTTTTGTTTTTAAGTCATTATATGGCACATCTGCTTAATTAGCTAAATAAAAACAGCCGACTCAAGAGCCTCAGGGAAGATGTGTGAATAATGTACTGAACCGCAAAAGCTTCTCTAGTAGACAATGTATGTACACATACAAATCCGTTTTTGCATATGTACCCAATAAGATTCAATACAAGTTGAGTATAAGCATTAAAACTGCTATACCACATTAGAAATATGTTCCACTCAGTCTTGTTTCTTATCTAAATATTTACTGATATTGTGTATTTCTACTAAAGAAAAAAGTACTTTATATAGTGATGTTACAGCTTGTTTATTTTATTTTTCTAGCGAAACTGAAGAGGTTACTTTATACAGGAAGTACCTTAAGTTCGAATGCCCCGCAGCCTCCTGTAGAATTAAGGTAGGGAATTGAACAGAATTGTTTTGTTTTTCTTTGTCTTTTTAATCAGTTTGCTAGATTTCATTGCTCTTAGTCAAATTGTTTTTATACACTTTGTGTAATTTAAAAATCTGTTAAATGGTACTTTGTCTTGATATGAGAGTTCTCCTTTTGAATTTGTATCACAGTTTTCTTTTTATGAAGACTTAATATGAGAAAGGTGGTAACCTCTTAGAGGAAAAAAAAACTTCATAAACTAGACAAGCTGCAGATAATCAACAGTCTTTGTGTAATTAGAACTGTTAACTCTGATGCGGTTCAATAACCTTATGAAAATCTTATGGCCGCTGCTCTTAAGTGTTTAGAAGATCAAGGCCTGATTTATCTTTGGGTCATGCAGGCACCTCTGTTCCTATCAGAATTTTCTGAAAAATAATAGCCAGGAGAAATCGATTTAATTTCTCTGGAAAAGAGTTCAGCATTGTTTTTCCTAAGGTTCAAAGAATAATCCATTGTCCCGTACATCAAAAGAAAACATGAAACTTCTTTTTTTTTTTTTTTTTTAACCAATTTTTTTTTCCTTCTTGCAATAGCTGCTTTCCATTGGTGAGAAACAAAGAGTACTCATCAGTAAAATAACTGTACAAGTGAAAACAGTGTCTTCAAAACTAGCAACTGATTTTCCTTCACTAGGCTCAAGCATAGATCTAGACAGAGTGCAAACTATAATGGAATCTATGGGATCTAAGTTGTCTCCAGGTGCTCAGCAACTCATGGACATGGTCCGATGTCAGCAGAAAGTAAGTCATTGTGCTTTTCCATGAACATAAATAGTACTGGTCTGTGACCTTCTGTAACAGTTAGGTGTGTTCTAAACTGATTTGGCAGAAAAGGTTTGTTTTTTTTTTTTTAACCCAAACTTTCTGCCATTTTAATCCTGGTTTAGCTATTGCCACCCTTAAATAAGGAGTGCAATGAATAAAGATTGTGTACTGAAGGAATCACTGTGCATACACAGAGTTAAGAACTCTGCATCATCATCATTTTAAGCTTCGCTGCCACCCTCCTCTCCTTTTGTTCATTTCTGTTGTCACTGCTTGTCAAGGCGCGTTCCCTGTAACATTTGGGGTTGGTTTTTGGGCTGGTTTGTCTCCTTTGTGGTTATTAAAAGTGTGTCACCTTCAACTAAAGGGAACGTGCTCTTACAGAGCATTTATTTGATTTAGATCTTAATCCTGCGAAGTAGGTTTTTTCAACAGAATCCTGAATCCATCTGATGTGACTTATGTTCAGTCTTGGGGACGTAGCACGGTAAAAATGAAGTCAGTAAAACTGTTTTCTTACTTGGGGACTGACAAGATAACGAACGTATAAAATGTATGGGGAAAATCTTTCCCTGGGCTTTTCTCTAAGAACATAATTCAGAACTACTTTTAAAATCTTTACATAAAAAATGCCGAGTTGAAAAGTTGCCGTTGTTCTTATTGTGTAATTTCCAATGTATTTTAATGCTTAAATATTAATTGTATTGTTTTTCTTCCCCTCAGAACAGTTTACCTCTTGGAGACAAACTTAATTGGATCTTTGGGAAAAATTCAGACTTTGGAGGTAACCACGCAATAGATGGATTGCGCAGTGCAGCTATTCAGACATCACTAGATCAGTTAGCCAGTGAACCCTTGCCTGTTAAAAATCATTTCACAAGTGAAACAGCATATGAAGACGTAAAAATAAGTCATGATCTGAACACACAGGTACCTGAAGGAGGGAATACTTCCGATTCTGAAAGCCTTACTACCCAGAAAAATACAGTTGACCTCAGAAATGATTTTAAAGTCATGGGATCTTTGCATATGCAGGAACAAGCGAGCGAAACCCCAAACGTAGCTAATCCACAGGTGCTTCTTCCTTTTCTTCAAAACTTATGTAGTCAGGTAAATCATCTTCGGCTAAAAGATGGTGATAGGCGCTTTGGGAAAAATGCAGTGACTAAAGAGGAAGGCGTTCGGTGTGTCGGGTAAGTTAAGTTTGGTACACTTATTAAAGTAGTAATTTGGCTGTATTTATTGACAAGCTTAAAAAATAAAATACGTAATGTAAGCATTATGTATTATGTCAACTGACAGCAATAGTGAATCTTAAAATACTTGGTTTTGAAGGCTGTGTGGTGATGAACAAGGTTACGATTAATTCAGATTAACTAATTAATTCAGTTAATTCAGATGAGCTGCTTCAATGTAGGATTTTTTTCAGAAGAAATCCCAACATCATTCGTTGTTTGTAAACTGTGTCTTTTGCCTCTGTTTCACCTTTTATGATTAAAAAAAAAAAAGCATGGTCTTTCTGCAATCTCATACATTAATTAATGTATCTGTTACTACATTTTCATTTTGACTACTTCCTAAAATCTTAGATCTTCTTTTTTTTTCACACCGTGCCATGATTTTTCTGCTGTACTTAATCCCACTGATCCTTCCTGTCCCTCCTCGATTGTTGGCATTTACAGTGCAAACTTCACAGTAGTAACACACCTGGTGTGATACCTAAGGAACAATAGTGGAAATGGTGAGATGCAATAATGTAGCATAGGAATCTGGGTTTTAATGGAGCCTGAACATCTCCAGCTCCTGGGAAAGTGCAGTATTTTTAAAGAATGGAGATGCAAAAATAGAATTGCATAGTTTATAACTCTTGAAACACTTTAGCTGAAAAGAATAAAACCTGCCATACTGACAGAATTTGAACTCTGTATACTGTTGAGTCATGTGGCTTTTGTTAAACGTAACTAAGCTGTCTAAGGCATAGCTGAGTCTTTAAAAAAACAAGGTTGGAAGAAGATGATCATATACCCTAGTATGTTTATGAAAAAAATTGAGATTTAAAATGTGGCAGCTAGGCAAGGTATTTTACATGTGCTAAAAACCTAATACTGTCCAAAGTTTGTTGTCTAATAAAGGAGATTTTACATTTAAAAGGAGTTCAAGTGCCCAGATTTTATTGTGCCCCTTGTCATTAAGAAATAGGTTATACTTATTTTTATGTTTGCTCTTTTCACAGAGTAGAACAACAGCCTATTTGCTCCTATTTGGAAAAGATGATCTCAAAAAATATGGATCTGATGGAGAAAAAACTAATGGACTATATTGATTGCCAAATCCAGGCTCTTCAGACACATATAGATAATAAAATGGTTCTCTTAATGGACTTGGTTCAGAACTCAAAGCCAAACAAAATTTCACAAGCGCGCTATGATTCTAACGAGGGCTTCTCTAATGGAGAGAGATAGGTGTATATAGATATAGGATGTCAAGTACTTTAAGGGCAATTATACTTTACCGAGCTTAGTATTTATGGAGTTATAACTGTAAAGAACCTCAGTGTTGTTGACTTGCATCTTGTTACTGTAATTCTATCCACTGTTGTACACAGTTGTTAGTTTTATGAAAGATCTTAAGAATGTGTGTTTTTTCTAAATATAAGAATTTTGTATGCCCTTTGTGGCTTATTTATTTAAAGAGCATTGCTAAAAGCCATATGAAACAGTTTCACAGTTTTGGTTTGAACAATGAAGTACTCTAAATAAACTGAGTTACAGCTTATATTTTTACCTACATGTAAGCACTTTTTTATTGTCTTGATTTCTTGATGTATAACATGTACCAGTAGAACAGAATGCATTTTTTTTGTGCTTTCGGTGCATTTTAATGGCACTCCTGTTGAAGATGTTTATTACTCCATCTATGAGAGGAAGGGTAGTATTGGCAGTGTTTATTCAGACTGTTTAAGGAGTCAGGTTTAGAGACACAGGCTAACTTGAACGCCAGCCTGGGTTCTTTGAAAGCCTTGCTGGCTGTACAGGCACCTAAGTTAGGAATCTAGCTCCTTAAGTGATAATTAAAATAAGACTGTCATTGTACCTTTCCCCTCCTAAATTAATTGAGCCATGCAGGAACAACTGAAATGAATGTATACTTAGCAGACTTGTGTTTATCCATGTTTTGTTATCCTAAGAAAATAAAAGTATGTAATTTGTGGTTCCTTTCAAGGGGACCTCATTGCCAGATAGAACGTGCTGGCGTAGGATCTGCTGCATTTCACCAACCTTAGGCCTTAGTGCATCGTATTTACTCTAACCTGTTGGCGTCAGGTTTGCTGTCACTTGGGGAGGTAGAAACGTGACTCAAAGTCCCTCTTTTGCGGAAGGTCAAGCTTCACGTTTCTTTCTGTTTACTGCTCTTGGAATTCTGGGGTACACCATCTAACTTGGATGGTGTAGGGACCTAGTGGTAAACCCTTAGGCTGGGTGCATGGTCATTGGTTGTATTTGATGTCTTAAAATGCATTGAGCAAAAGCTGTTGATGGGGAAGCCAGTGTTGACTGAACAAGCAGCATAGGCACGTACAGTCTAGTGTCCAGTCTACCTAATGTTTTCTCCTCCAGGAAACGTGATGTCTTTTAAATAAGACTGTCAGATCTTAATGGTAGCAACCCACAGGAGTAGATTTTTGAAGAGAGGATAATTTGCTTTGAACAGACATTTCACAGTTGTCCCTCAGCTTAGCTCATGCCAGGTGCAGTTTCAAAGTGATATGTAAAGATAAAAAGAGAAATTTTTTTTTTTTGAACAAAGTAGTACCTAAATTATCTCATGCTTTACAAGTCACTTGACACCCATAAAGATAGTTTTTAGATGCTTTCTAAGAAACACCCTGAGGTAGGCACTTGCATTCTTTTTCAACTCAGTGATTTAGGATACAGTGCTAGAGAGTTTTTTTTAATTACACAAAAAGTTGCAATACGTTTTCAAGCGTTGTAGTCCAAGGCTGTTAGCTTATTGATTTTTTTTTTTTTTTTTTTTTTTTTTGGGTGGTTTTTTTTTTTTTTTTTTTCCCCCCCCCCCCCTCTGGGTACAAAAAAAAAATTCGGTTGGTTTGATTTTTTTTTTTTTTCCCCCCGCTCCCCTCTGAGTGACAAATCTGAATAGAAGTTACAAAAATTCAAAATATCCTGGCGTAGTTAGTAAGAGCTTTGGATTTTTTGGTAGCCATATCCTGCTTGACGTTTGGTGTGGTATTTTAGTATCACAACTACCACAATGATAATATTTGAAATCAAAACCACAAATGAAAGAGCGTAGAAGTTGTATTGTTGCAGGTTCGGGGTTTCTTCAGTGTCTGCTTTAGTGAGGGATTCTGTGTAGAGAAAAAAGAAAGTGGTATGTTTAAAGTTTCGAATACTGTGTCACTTCAGTAAAAACTAAATAAGCATTTTCTTCACATATTTTGGTTATGAGGAGTGGACCCACACTGATTGCAAATTCTGAATCTGTAGTACCAAAGAGTTGTACAAATTTGTAATAAAACAACTGTGCAGAAGCACATCGCCGTGTTAACAAATTCTTTGATATAGTTGCAGCCAAGTTTCTGCCAAGCGGTGCTGTTGTCTTTAGAACCGGATAGATGGGAGATGCTGAAGCAAAGCTGGGCAAAAAAGGTACTGGTGGTTCTAACCCTGTCTCTTCCAAGGGTTTACTAGCTGGTCCTTGGTAAAACTCATTTATTTTTTCTGTAAATTGTGAAAGATACTATGAAAATTAATGTGTTTTATAATACTTTGAGGGTGATCTATTTGCAGTTGAATCCTTTTCACATTATAGATGTGTCCAGTTTCTAGCATATGGATGCAAAATCTTTTGCTACTGAAATAAATGGGCACGTGTTTAAAATGCTGCTAGAGCTCTAAGAGGTTAGTAATTATTTTAAAAAGGAAGAAAATGTTTATTACTATTAAGAGCATGATTAGTGCTAAATACTGCTTGGATCTGACAGCTGGAAGCATGTGGCACAATGTGCTTTGCTTAGGTGAAGCTTTGTGCTCAGTAAAAGTTAGGAGAATGGGTGTAGTGGAAGCTGCAATACAAGCCCTTTAAAACAGCTCTGCCATATTTTGCAGTCTGCTCTACGTTAGTGCTCCGTACTCGGGCCGATCCGGAGCAGACTGCAAGTTGTGCTGAAGAGTGTGTCAGATGGGGCACTGAAGCTTAACTGTCTCCTGAACAGCTTTGCAGCTCTGACTGCTTTTGATTTCTGCTCCGGTGGCTGTCCTTCCCACGCTTTTGTTCTAGTAGGCAATAGGTACAGTGTGAGGATTTAACCTGGGGTGGCGTAAGTCACCTGTGTTTATCATTTGGCATAGCTTTTCTGTAGCACCCGCAAATAAAACTGAGTGGACTGTTGGAAGATACAGGGTTATAACAAAGCTCGACTGTGATTTGGAATGTGCTTTCTGAGTAGTCTGGGAGAAATGAGCCCCGGTCCCTATGTATGCTTCATCAAAAAATATCGCATTTGAAAATCTGAAATTTCTTGCCATTCATAACTTTTTCTGAATACTTAGTCAGATCCTGCACTACTTGTATAGCTAGGAGTGAGTGCTGCTGCTTCTGCTGCAAAGAACACGCCTGGATCCAAAAGGCCATCAGCCTGTTGGTTTGAAAAGTACGTCTCTGATCCCGCAAAACACAGGCGTCTGTTGGACCTGTGGCTCTGATGCCATGTTAACTCACTTATTTCATTAGTGAGAGGAAGGTAACGGGTGTACACCAAGGAAGAACTTAATCAGGTTCTTAATTTACGTATTGCTCTTACCGGAGTGATCAGCAGCCCTGAGATCTCTCTTCAGGCGGATGGGACCTACCACGGTATTAGTTTTCCACATGTATGAAGAAATGGCTCTTTTTTGCCTGGAGATACAGCCTTCGGTACAGCGAGAGTTTGCGTTGTTGCTGTCACAAATTAAAATATCACACTGGAGATAAACTGACGGAAAGCTCCGCAGGAACCTGAAGGCATTAAATTTGAATCTTCCATAGTGTTCAAGTGGTGGGTAGGTTACCACAGTGTCATCTTTACTGCAGCTGCAACAGAATTCACATATCTGTTAAAGTAGTCCACATAAAGTAATCATTCTTGCTAACTACTGTTGACTAACATCAGCATTTAGCCAGGGCATTGTTTTTACATGTGGGCATACAATGATGTGCTTTTTCCTTCTCCCCAGGGCAATGTAGTGCTTGCCTTCCCTACCTCTGTTTATGCAATGCCTTTAAATTTCTATGAAATTTAGCTTCCAACCACAGTCTGCTAAAGAAGGTAAGTGGAAGAGAGACCAAAATAAAAGAACTATGGTTGACACTTAGATTATATTTCCTCACATGTTAGGAGACAGTCGTAAAATAATTTAGGGTCTTACCCACTTCTGATTAAGTCATACGTTAGCGATCCAAAATCGGGTTGTGGAGATGCTGTACAGGTATCGACAAACACCAACAGATTTGGGTCGGTAGAACGAAGGCTGACTTGAGCAAAAAGAGTTTGGTTCAAGTCTACATAGTATGGGGACTGGAGTACAGGCCTGGAGAATGAACCTGAGTCATAGAATGACATGCTAACATTGTATCTTCCCACAGCGGTTGTGTTTTGGATGATATTATTTTTCGTTACGTAAACGACTTCTAAGGTTGAATTGTTTTCCATTTTGCATTTCACAATTATCTGTATGCTCTTTTGACGGGTAATAATGTTGCCAGTTGCAGAGAGAGAGATGATGTTGGTGTAAGTGATGCTCTGACCGTCATCCTGTAAAAGGAATCGTATGAAGTGCTCAGCTGTGATTACATGAGTAGTGCAGTTGAAAGCAGTTGTACTGAAGTTACAAAGCTGCCCAGCTACGCTTACCAGAGGCTCCAGAAACCTTTGAAATGTGAAACAGGTTGCAGCCAAAAAACCATTATCAACCCTCCTGTTTTTTCAAAACACTGAACCAACCTGTGTAGCAAAAAGATTAAGGAATACTGCATGGAGCATGGAAAGTACCAAAGCTACGCTCCAGCCATCCTTATCAGAAGAATGCTGTGAGCTAGCTCTTGGGAATCATCACATCTTAGGGTTTTTCCCCTTTCCTTGTGATGCCAGGGTAAGTGCTAGCTGTATCGCTTGCAGAGAATGTTGAAGTTGCATACCTGACACTGTGCTACTTCGGATAACCTGGGTTGGAGAGGGAATGAAACATTTGGGGTTAATTTGTGTGGATTCTCCTGGACTTCCTTTGTAAGGCTCATTGATCATCAGGTTCTTAAAGATGAAAAATCTTTCTATTTTAAGACTGGGAACACGCAATTCAATGAGCTAAATGAAAGTAAATCTGCTGTTACCTTATTGATAAATGCTTTTACGAGCTCTTATCATTGTTAGCCTCACATAACTTTTTTTACCCCCCATTTACCTTTTTAATTGTTCCACAGCTGTCTAATGGGAAGGAGAAGATCACCGAGTCTGTTACAAATGGGCTGCAAGATGGATCATTCAGCTGTAGGTTAGTCTCATTATAACCAAGGGAGGCCAGGTAAGACTTGCTCAGAACAATTTTCATGCTATCTGAAGAGCATGTAAGGAGTGCTGCCATTGAAAGAGAAATTAAAAAAGACAGAACAAAAAAACGTTACCACAAACTGTGCTGCGGTCATTTCTCTTAGTTGGTCTAGATCCTTGAACCTGTTGCGTGGTTCTTAATTTGTCAGTCTGAAACGGCTCCTGCGTGTTTGAGAAGTCCAAACAAAATTTCATGCTTGACTTCAAAAATGTGACATAAGCAAAAGCATGTAAAAACTCGTGCTGAAAGTTTAATTTTAAACCCAGTAACACAGAGTGAATTGCAGCCTTTATAAAAGGGAAAAGGAATGAAAGTGCTAGTGTGGACTGGTGGGTGAGGAAATTGATTTACGGCGAGCATCGAGGCCTTAGGGGGATTCCTTTTCCACCTTGGTTAATGAGATAATGGGCATGCAAACATGGAAAATAGTCCAGCTCCTTGGGAAAGGAAATTACAACACATCTGAACCCTGTTTGACTAACTAGCGCAGACCACTTTACTCAGGATCTTGGGGAACAAAACCATTTAAAGTAACCAGTCAGAAAGAGTTTATCTTTACATCTCTAGGATGGTAACAATGCCTGCTTTGTCCAAAAGAAGGAAAACCTCAGATTTTTCGTGGTGCTGGCCAGAAAAAAGACCAAAAAGTGAAAGATCAGGCTTTCTTTTGCAGATGAGTGGGTGAGGTAATGAGTCTAATGTGGGATTTCTACACATAAAGAGGGTTAATGACTACCAACAAAAAGGCTTAAATCCTCAGTATCAACTACCGGTTCTCTTCAATATTTATAAGGCAAGGGAAGAATCCTATGGGAGAACAAGAAATGGCATCCCATTGATGTAGCAAGTGTACTTACTGTCGGGCTTCACAGGGCCTGGCAGCAGAACACTGGTGTACTGAGCAGAAAATCCTCTGTAGGAGTTGGCGTAGTCTGTAGACAGCACAACTGTCATAACATTTGAGGAGGATTCAAACGTGGGCTGAGCACGACCACATACTTTTCCTATTAAGCCGGTGTTAGTGGTGGGGCCATCGTAGATTGCTGTGAAGTCAAACTGGCAGTTTTTGTCTAGTTCCAGGCTGTAGATAGGGAAAAAATAATTACGAGGAAATCAGAGTGTAGAGAGCACTGCTCATACTGGATAGAGGATCCAGCGCAGATGAACTGCCTGATGAATTCCACTCAACTAAAATAAAAGAATGGAGGGTAAAAGAACGCATAAATAGACATTATTAAAACCAAATAAAACATGGAAAACCCTCAAAGGCAAGAAATGCTTAATAAAAGTGTGATTCTGCTCCCCTTGAAATAACAAGCATTTTGCTATAGCTCTCAACAGAAGCTGGATCAGCTACGCTTCAATAGCTCTCATACTGTATATATTGATTGCTACTTGCTTACTAAAAATAACCACACCTTCATATATGTATGTTTATATATATATAAAACCCCAATCCTATATCTTAAAATAAAGACCTTTTAAAGTGTAGCGTTGACTTATGCAGGTATCTGAAACCTCTTGTGTACGCCACCAAAGGAAGGCTCTTGCCCTTTTTATCAGTCTGCCCGAGAGCTTCTCTCGGTGCTGGCTGCCCTTGATGAAGAGCACCAGCTGAACCGTGGTGGGTGGGTACCTCCCGAACGACATCTGCAGCCAGGCCTGGGGAGAACATACACCACACTGCGCAGAGTTCGTCGTCGCAGAGGGCAGTGGTCAAGGTAACGATTTCCTATAGAATCCTATATGTGCCACACTCAATTCTTACGCTGTATTCTGCAGCCTGAATAGCTCAAGAAATGTTCTAAATTGCAATTACAGCGCACATGGTGAGTTTTAAACATATGCCTTATGTAGCAAAAGCCTTATTTATACTGATGGATTTAAGTTCAGACCATTCAGGCTAGCTTAAAATGACCCTACACCTCCTGGGTAGTCACCTGAAATGCTTTCTGCGTTTCACTGACTGGCACTCCAGTAGCTACAGGGTAATGTACAGTGATGTGGAACACGTTGCAATGACTTTATCATGAGAGTCAGCAAAGCATGTTTGTTTTAAAAGTGTATAGATGTTCTGAAGGTTTGAAAGCACTTCTGCTTCCTGTATTTAAAGTAAAAAAAAAAACCCAAACAGAATGACAGAAGAGTAATAGAGCATTAGGGATTTACTCACAACAAATCCTGGAACTGCAATTTGATCTTCGAGTTTCTTGCTGTTTGTATGTGCCAGACACAATATGTAAATTCAGGGTAAGGTGCTGGGTAGTAAGGGCTGGTAATTGTCCCATTGGGACCAGTTAATTGCCCCCCACAGTTTTCAATTTCTGAAAAGAAAAGTAGATATATTGGTAGCAGTATATATGAGCTGTAAAAAATAATTAAGGATCTAAAGTTATGTAACTAGCAGGATTGTTTCTTTAGGATTCCATTCTTTTGGAAATCATTGAAGGTACTAAAGATAGAACTTCTACAGAGCATTTCAGGTCAGGTGGATGTTACGAAATGAAGCCCGTTGTTGCCATGGTATATCTGCGAGGCACAGTGTAATGCCGTCTGAGATGGCTGTAAATGAGTTTGCTTTGATACTGTGAGCAATTTAGTTACATCTACGTTTTGGGTAAATTAGGTGCCATCTTGAAAAACTGGCAATGAAGATGCTATATGAGCCAAAAGCAGCTCCAAGAGACTTCATATTGGAGAAATCTATGAGGCCTTGGTCATGATCTTTGTGGAAGTGCAAAATCTTCAAGTTTGACAGAAATTTACTTTATAGACAAAGGCAAAATAAAATCATCAGTGGAAACCTCAGGAAGACAAATGTAGACTAGAAACAGGGCACAATTTTTCAGCAGCAAAGTTAAACACTGGAGCAGCATAAACTAGGATGTGGTAACTACTCTAAAATTGAGGCTTTTAAGAGCATAGTACCATGCCACTCAGGTCAGCAGAAGCAGAGGAACTGGTCATGCACTAAGACTGATTTTATCCAAGCTATTCTTATGTTTTAAGGAAAAAAAAGTAAGGAGATTGTTGAATGAAAACCCTTACTGACTTCTGTGGCCTGTACTCAGCAGGACTAGATGGTCATAATTCTCCTTCTGGGTAAATGCCATAATATTTGCAAACTGAGCAAATGTAGTAGAAGCCTGTGAGTAGAAGTAGAGTCCCATAATGCTGCCTTTGCAGTCATTTTTCTGGGTAATATTGCACTTTCTAAGCTCTCCAGCAAGTGCACTATTGTTTTGCTGCCTCCTTCCTTCCACTTATTTTCCCCTCCACCATTCTCTAAGGGCTGAAGAACTGAGTGAGACTCATTAAAGATTCTGTTAATAGTCTCTAATTGCTGTCCTAAACTTTCCCTTAGTGAGAAAGTTTCTTTTAATGGTGCAATTCAAATTGTATTTAATGGCTGCATTAAGTTCTGACGTACTTGTTTCTGGTGAAAAGAAGTAGTAGAAGACGAAGAAGTTTCGTGTGAAAGCCACGGAGTTTGTCGTTATGACAAAAGTTAAACTGTCTGAAGAGGACTGAAGTACTGGAACTGCATCAGTGTTGTTGCATACTTGCCCAAGAAGAGGTGAATTAGTTGAGGGGCCATCATAGATTTTAATGCTTTCTGTATCACAGCTTGAAGAAGGAGCAAATCTGTTGAAAAAACACAGTGAGAGCTACCTAAGCTCACTGAGAGAGATACGGGACCTCTGGAATCCACAACACAGCTTCAATACAGAGAAATATTTGGACACAGTATTTTTCTGTGCTGTATTCTAATGGAATGAAACAGTACAAAAACATCTGGAGGAAATACTTACTTAAAATAGGAGAAAATGAGCCTAATTGTTTGATTTGTGTTCCTCTGAATTTGCCAGATGCAGTTTGCATTTGCCTTTAGCTCAATCCTTAACGGCTTGTTGGGCTCGTGAAGCGAAGCACCGCAGTGCGGCACACCTGCTGAAGAACAGTGACAACAAAAACCAGCTTGCAAGGATAGCTCTCAAGTTTTCCTCCTGCAATAATGTTTTATCATCCGCCATGCAAAAACCCTCCATCATGGAACAGACATGCAAAATGTACTATTTATTTATTTATATTACAGCAGTTTATGAAAGAATCAAATAGTAAAAGAGTATTGGAGAATGCTTCTAATCCTCATTTTCCTAGTAGCAGAGAAAAGAGGAGTTAGGGCAACCGATATCACAGATGAGCAAGACTGGAAGTGCCAAGTGACGCAGGACACCTCAGCACCTCGGTTCTGCAAGGCTGGCCACCACAAGCACCTCAAGCCTCCTGTCTTCCCCTACACTGAGTTCTGGTTCTGAGGTGCAGCCCTTGACTTAAAAGCATTTGGGAACCAAAAAGGCTTTTCAGATTTTAGCTTCTAGAGGACTATGTGTGGGATTACTCTCTATTTACTGCTGCTTGCAATTCTGACCCTCCATCTCTAAAAGGGTGCTGCTAAACAGGAAAGGCTTCAGAGGACGGCAACAAGGACGATCAAAAGTTTACGATAGCTTCCAGACAAGGAACCAGTAAGTGAACTGAAGCATTTCAGGTCAGAAAAGAGATAACTAGGGGGGAAAGGAGGTGCTAGAGGTCTGTAAATTCATGAAGAGGGTTAATACGAGCTATTCTCTTCCAGTACAGTAACTCAGTGGCCTGGAATGAAACCAGTACATTGTGGGTTTGAAACGCAGAAAAGGAACTGTCTCTTTGTACTTGGATCTTTGCTGCAGGGTGATGTGGATGGTAAAAATAAAACATAAAACAGGTCAGATCCATGAAAGAAAAAAACCTTTGGTAACTATTGAATGCAAAGGTAGCACTTCCTCTCTGTTTCAGAAATCCCAAACCACGTTTGTTGGTGACTGGGAGAGTATTCGGGGGAAGTATTATGCAGGCTTGTGTCTGTATTCCTGCCTGAGCATCCTCTGTTGGTTGTTACTGGGTGCAGGATGGCTAGCTGGACTTTGACTCAGTTCTCCTTTGAAGAACCACAAACCAACCATGGCTGACATCCCTAACGTCACTTAATGAATGTTAGTAAGTTATGAAGTAGTTGTGGTAATGGCCATTGTATAGGAAACTTTTTCTCATCCAGTTTGAGCATAAGATCTCCTTGCTACTTTAATATTAATCTAAAAATAACGGTCTAAAACAGCAGGAAGAATTTCCTATATAGCGTATGCAGTCCCAGATAAAAAGGTCACGCTTTCTGATGAACTACAGAGGGAAAAGAAAGGAGACACCTTTCTTGTCACATCTGAAACCTCCTTGTTGTAAGAACAAGGCCAGCTTTGCCCTACCCTCCTTCTGCATCCCTCCTGCAGTAATACTTCGTTATCCTACAGTAGCTCCCCCCATTAACCGGGTAAATTGCTGATTTGAGCACAGAATGGTGGTCCCAAATCGAGCAACAGATGAGTTTCTATTGTTCCTGATTGAACACAGGAAAAATGAACAAATCTCTTTTAAAAAGCAACTGTTTCCCAGTTAAGTCACTTTACTCCTGCTACTCCAACACAGTATTAACTGATAAATGCAAATTTCTGTTTCAGAGTAAAATATCTTCAGAATCAAATTCTTAAGTTAAAAATTTGCCATAAGGATTCATATATTGCAATTTTTTTGTTATTTACCATCTTAACGCTTGCTGGCACATCTGGGTGTTACTATTGCACAGCAGTACATTAAACTAAGGTGCACTTTTAGAGATAGGTTTAACATTTTTCCCTTCAGTAACCTATAACATAGCTATTGTGCAAAAATTAATAAAATTTCACAGATGGAGAAAAGACTAGATTTCCATACCCATGGATTCTATTGAGTTGTCTTCAGCGAGAGCTAGAGCAGCTACGAGAGGCAGGAGGAGGAGCTGTCTGAGCGCCTGCATTTTGGCAGCAGCTGGGGAGGTTTGGCTCTTCTATCTTTTATACCCCCAGCTATTTCCTAATCATCTTGTATTACGTGATATCACGGAGGGAGGGCTTAATCTCTCAGTTACTGTTTCTTTTTTAACAGATATAAATGAGAAAGCAACAGGTGTGCCCATTTTTTTTTTTGATATGTACTGCATGGAGTAAGTTTAACTGTGCTTTTGTCGGCTCCTTTGAGTTTGAAGCACGTTTTTCAGTTGATTTCATTGAGCGTCTGTTTGGGTGTGTTGAAATGAGCGGGAATGTTCTGGAAGGGATTGACGGACTCCCTTGGGAGACACGTTCAGCAGTTTGCTCCTAGCACTGCTCAGCAGGAGCTTGGTGTTTTCCCACCTTCATCTTGACACCGATCCTTTTGGGTCATACTGGGCAAATCATTCCCTGTCCTTTCTGGGGATTCCTCAGGTTGTAAAGTGCGACTATCGTAACAGAGTTGTTGTGAGTGATGATTTCCTATTGCTGGAACACGCACGGATGAACAAGGCCAGATTTATGTTAGTCATGGGTTTAAAAGAAGCAGATTGCACTGCAGCCACTTGGTGGATAAAACTTTTAGTCCCACAGTAGAATCTACAAAAAAAAAAAAAAAAAAGGACTCAGCCCTTCCCTCGGGAGGTAAGGAGGCAAGCGCAGTCCCAAGAGCCTCAATTCCTTCTAGCACGAGTCTAATGAGTACCTGTTCCAACATATTTACATGGCTTTGACTGTCTTTCCATAAGGACTAAGCTCTTGAAATCCAGAGTATTGCCTGCTGCAGCTGTGGATACCCAATCTTTAAAGCTTCTGGAGGTTGTGGTGGTGCCAGTGCCACAGATGTGCTCTTCCCCTGACCTTGCTTCGGTGCAGAACCTGCATGGTGTGTGAACAGCCAGGGTTCACGCAGGAGCCTGGCTGTGTGATTCTTTCCAACACTGAGAGCAGGCGTCCCACAGCTGTGCAAACAGGGTTCTTTCAGATTTACTAGAAAAGTCAAATTGCAGCACAGACCTTCTTGAAACCCATCCAGGTACTTCCATAAGACCAATTTTTTTTGTACAAAACTGTTTTTTTCTTTTATAAACAAACTGACATATGCATCTGTAATGACCTTGTATTTCTAATCTCAGACCTATGCTGCCTTTAAAACAACTCTTTCTGATTTTTAAGTCGCTTTAAAGATTTTGAATGCAACTCTCTCTTCATCACAACAATGTACTGCCTTTAAACATGGAGGCATTGTACACGTATAAAAATGTCACATAGCATCTGAATTCCCTTTAGCTTCTGGAAATGCTAAATTTGCATTTACTCTATATAGCCTTTCATTTCTTACACCCACACACATACTTGCAAGGAATTTTCAAATGCTAACGTCCATTTTGTAAGCTGGAATGCTGTGCTGCCATTCAGTGGGACCTGGACAGGCTGGAGAGTTGGGCGGAGAGGAACCTGATGAAGTTCATCAAGGGCAAGTGTCGGGTGCTGCACCTGGGGAGGTTGAACCCCATGCACCAGTACAGGCTGGGGGCTGACCTGCTGGAAAGCAGCTCTGCCAAGAGGGACCTGGGAGTCCTGGTGGATGACAAGCTGACCATGAGCCAGCAATGTGCCCTTGTTGCCAAGAAGGTCAACGGTATCCTGGGGTGCATGAAGAGGAGTGTGGCCAGCAGGTCGAGGGAGGTTGTTCCCCCTCTACTCTGCCCTGGTGAGACCGCACCTGGAGTCCTGTGTCCAGTTCTGGGCTCCCCAGTTCAAGAAAGATGAGGAACTCCTAGAAAGAGTCCAGAGGAGGGCTACAAAGCTGATGAGGGGACTGGGGCACCTCTCCTGTGAGGAAAGGCTGAGGGAGCTGGGCTTGTTTAGCCTGAAGAAGAGAAGGTTGAGAGGGGATCTCATCAATGGATGGATCAGTGGATGTCATGAGGACGGAGCCAAACTCTTCTCAGTGGTGCCCAGCGCCAGGACACAGGGCAATGGGCACAAACTGAAGCATGAGAGGTTCCGGTTGAATGTGAGGAAGAACTTCTTGACTTTGAGAGTGACAGAGCCCTGGAACGGGCTGCCCAGGGGGGCTGTGGAGTCTCCTTCTCTGGAGATACTCAACCCCCATCTGGATGATGTCCTGTGCACCCTGCTCTGGGTGAGCCTGCTTGGGCAGGGGGGTGGGACTGGGTGAGCTCCTGAGGTCCCCTCCAACCCTTGCCATTCTGGGATTCTGTAATGTATGAACTTGTGCCTGGATCCCTGCCAATCAGTGCTGTGTCTGTCAGAAGTGAGAAAAAAATGCCTATGGCTATGATAGCCTGGGAATTTACTCTGGTAGTTACAAGTTATAGTCAAACTGCTTGGCGTTACTTTTAAATGAATGAGTAGGAAATTTTCTTGCTCCATAGCTGATATTAAAGGACTGGAACCCCCCGGCAGTGGCCCAGTGTTTCTGAAAGGCTGAGCCGATGCTGGCAGCTACACCTGCACAGAGACATCTCTAAGGAGCTGTCTCACTGCTCCATGCTACAAATCTGAGTGTTCAAACTGTTTTCAACTCTCATGTGTTAAGCCCATGCTCAGATAGTGTGATGTGTTCAGATACCAGGTGATGCCAAAATATTAATGGCCCGCTTTGAATTCCCTCTCCTACCTCAAAAGAAAATGTCCAACAAGTCTTCGTGAAAATCTTTTGAGATGACAATGACTGTAGGAAAGGCATTTTAAAATAGCAGACCCTCAGAGAAAATTGGCGTGTGTTTTAGCACAAAGGAACAAGGATTCAGCCGTTGTGGCACTGTTATTTACAGGCACTTTCTCTCACTGCCTACAGCTGAGTGCAGTAGTAGGGAAAATGTGATTTCAAACACTTTACATCATTACCTGAGAGCAGCAGGGTTACGAGTGTGGCGGAGTTTTGCGTGAACTAAGGATGATGAGGACATACTCTGGTTCGGGACGGGTGTTACAGTCCTGCAGGATGAGGACTTCAGCAGCGAGCCTGCTCAGCCGATGCCAAGGCTTAACCACCAGGTAAGAGGCTTGATCTGGAGCCTTCATGGGAGATCTGCGTGATTTTGGCATTTGAGAGCTGGCGAAGTTATTCACGGAGAAGCTGAGCTTCAGAGTTACTCTAATCCCTTTTTGACAGGATGAAGCATAAAAGGAAAAGTTACTGAAAACAGTGGATTTTTTTTTTTTATTTTTTGCTTGTGTGGCACAGCCTCTAGATGCTAGGCATCCTTACTCGGTACAGAGCATCTCATTTTGAGTTTGAGTAATCTGCGCGTACTCACTGTATGCAAATGTGGCCATATGGAAATGTGGCCTTAAAGATGCTTTTCACAAGCCAAGTTCACCAGATTATCAAAATTTAATCCATGTCTTTCCCCAAGGTGACTGCTGTAGTCCTGTATGATTCCTGTACAAATATCAACAAGGTGTTTTGTCTATTATGAACTGAAAATTATTAATTTACACTTTTTTTCACTAAGTCATTCCAAATAGGACAATTTAAAGTGCAGAAACACTTTCTTGGCTAACAGTGATATAATTTGAAGAGACATTGCAAGAAAAAGGATGAAGCAAATGCTTTAATGAAGTAAATGTAGATGTAACATTTTTTATAGCTCTAATCTCCAGTAAAAAAAATTGACATATAGAAAGATTATAATAGTTTATAGGTATTGCAGATTATATATCAGTATTGTACAATATTTTTTCCAAATTTTTTTGAGTTCCTATTTAATTACTCAGATGTTATTGGTTACAAGGGATGCTTATCCTTTGATTTATGTTTTTGCTTGAGCTCAGAAGGCAGCACTGTTACGTGTGCATCTGTAAGGCAGGTTAATCTTCCTTAGATGCTCGGTATTTGAGTTATTTGGTACAATGGGGAGAACTGGAAAAACTGAGAGGGAAACAAAGTTTTGATGAGAAAAATCATCCAGCTGATCCAATTGCTCTTTGTCACTGAAGATTTACTGAAGTTTAGGCTTTTACAAATCTGGAATATAGATCCAAAAGATCTAAAGTTAAGGAATACAAGTACAGCTAAGATTAAAAGACCTTTAGATTTACACCCCTAGTATAAAGTATTTTTAGAAATCAGTAGCAGATGTGCAACACACTGATCATGTATGTATGTGATCAAGATGGTGAGAAGAAATGTTATTGTGGCTATTAGGGGCTGATAACAACGAAGCTGCCTCTTGTGATTTTGCCTCTTGTCTTATAGTGCTTGTAGTGTGGGGAAGAATATCTGTTGCACGATAATATTTTGCACTGTAGGCAACCTCTTGAGTATATGGGACCTCTGAACTTGAACAGGGTGATATTCTTGCTTGGTGAATAGTAGTTCCTACAGGTTGGGTCCTTTATGCAGCTGAGAAAAGAAAAAGGAAAAAACCCACATATAAATATCATAGAAAAAATTGTGACATGGTCACTAAGCCCATTTGTTTCATTGGTTACAAGAATTTTCATTCAGTAATTTCTGTGATGTTAATCACAATTCACAGCACAGAACTCCTGAACACATGCATTTATATGGAATTTAAATATGTACATTTGTATAACATGTAAGATAACATTATATAAATATCACACACGTATGTAAATGTATAAATGTAAAGCACCTGGTGGAGTTTTAAATATGTGAGAGAGAATTACTGTGTAGGCCTGTTATCTTTCCAAAGTTTTTTATTTCAACCTTAGAATTTCTGAAGAACTATGAAGAAACAATTCCATATCCCATACCAACCAAAACCCCTGGTTGTTGAGATATTTTCCTTACCCTCTTCTGACTAAATCAGATGACACAGTCATAAAGTTATGAGGATCTGGAGAGACCACACACGTGTCTGTAGATAGCAACAGATTTGGATCTATGCTGTAGAGGGTCCTATGAACCAACAAATCCTGGTTTGCCTGAACATAATATGGTGAAACCCTCACTGAATTAGAAAAAGATGGTGAATCATAAAAGGCAAAC